TTTAGTACAACCAATCACAAAGTCCAGTTCCATACCAGGCAACCCACAGACCCATTTCAGTTACGGGTGTATAATTTGGGCAAAACTTTCCAACTTATATTATACCATATCCCTAAAAAGTTCCTACTATGGACCTCTACTATCTGTACCTTTATTTATAAAATATACCCACCTACAAATGTATATACTATACAACATAGAACTTTTTAAGTTAGAAGATTATTTTTAAATGGGACAAAGTTTTGTTTTGCTCTGTTTTGAGACAGGGTCTTACTATGTAGTCCATGCTGGTTTTAAACTCACTATGTAGCTCAAGCTCGTCTTACACTCACAAGCCTCCTGTCTTAACCTTCAGACTGCTACAATTACAGGTGTGTGTCACCATGCTCAGTTCAAGGATGAAATAATTTTTACCTTTAATTTATGAATAGTACAAAAATATTCTAAGAAATTACAATATTTCAAAGTTCTAGTGCAAGTGTAGGATTCAGTTCATTCTGATCTTAATTACAATGCATACAAACTGAAAAACATCTTTTGAAGGCAGAATACTAATAAAGTATACTTGGGGCAAAGTTAATTATGCATAACAGTGGGTGTAAAATCTTATTTCAAAGAATTATCTGAATACCTCAGTAATTTTAAAACTTTACTGAACTTAATAGGCCTACTAAACTATTGTTTTCATCTATAATGAAGCTGACCAAAAGCTAGTACTAGAACTGCCAACTCTTCATTTTTTTGTTGTTCACTTATGTTTGTATCATTGGTATCACTGTTACAAATTCTTTACAAGAGTCCTTTTAAATTGTGTAAGAGTTAGATTAGTTAAAACTAGGCAATATTTATACATTCATTTGTTTACACATGCATAATTACTATCTGCTAAAAGTGAACGAAGAGAAAAGTCACTGACAATCCCATTTCCCTCCTTAGCAAGAGTTCTGCATCAGTAATTCATTTATTAAACACTAGTAAAGTTTCATTACTTCCTTTTAATACGCATAAAAATAAAATTAACAATTTTAATAACAAATTTCTCTTACTTCATGGGAGTTGTAGATACATTCCTTTGAGACCTATAACTCAATATACCTGAAACTCCAAGCTAGCATAATACAAATCAGTCTCTCAAATGCTTTCCAGATTAGAACTGAATTTGAAGCCAGGACTAATTTTCCATGGTCACCCCAGGTCAAATAAGACTCTTAGGTTCTTATGATCTGGGCCTTCACCCAAAAGCTGATCCAAAACCAACCTACAGGGATGGACGGACAAGTATAATCTTACCAGGATATTCACCCTTTACGAAGATAATGAAGAATAGTTATACTTTCTGTCTCTATAATATTCATTCACTCATTTAAGAAACATTTATAAATGCCAGGTATCTCACTAACATAATCATTTATAAGCATATCTTAAATATACTATACTGTACTTTCATTTGCAGAAGGTGCCTTAAAGAAAAAGTGTGGTTTGTGCCCCATCGAGTGGCCAACTTAGAAATTTCAAACAAGTTCAAACAAGGCAAGTTAACCCTACCTAATCAACATAATACCTTTAAAATTAAAGCCTGCAACACAAGTGTTCTCATGGGAGAGTTCTACAAATAAAAAATCACAATAATGTTATGGCAATGTTTCATTAAACATGAAAATAAGCTTAGTACGGTTTATAGAGTGCCTCCCCTTTCCTAAATCCCAGGGGGGGAAAAAGACCATAACTTTTTATTAAGTTAAATAAAAGAGCTTCTTAGGTTAGTTTTCACAGATCAAAATCACATCGACACTGTTTAAAATATTATTGATTTAAGAGATGTTTTAAAAATTGTCCGTTAAGTTCTGTCTCTGTAAAACAAACATAATTAAAGCATAACAAGGCATAGAAATTTAAAGTTAAGTGATTCCTTAGGTAATATGAGTCTATGAGTTTAGAAACCATCAAATGCAGTTCTTAACATTACAAATACTTCAGTATGAGGAAGTGATTTATTTCATCAGGGTCACACAGTTAGTGACTTAATTCCTAATGCTTACACATTCAACACTCAAGAGACTAGGGTGTGAGTATGTGTATGTGATATACACTAAACGAGTGGCTTAGCCTGTCTGGACCTTAGGTTTCTTGCTTAGAAAAACAAAGAGATAATCTTTAAATTCTCTTTCAGCTCCAAAATTCTATAATTTAGAGACTTCATCGTTTTAGTATCTTACAAAATTAGAGTATATACTGAAAAAAATCATTCCTGGCTCCTAAGAATCTAAATATGTACATGTACATAACCCTAGGGAAGAGAATACAAATCAGCAGCATAAAGCATTAAATACAGAGTCTGGCAAAAATTTACATACATTTCAGAAGTTCATTGTCTATAAGCTAATGACCATCACTTTAAGCACCTCTTTTAAGAGTAGAGGCCAAAGATAACTTACATAACTTCATGTCTCACTAAATTTAATATTAAAATATTTATACAAGTTTTTCTTTACCTGATATATACATCTTTTGAGGAACTCTGTATTTTGCTTCTTTTGCTAACAATCTGTGAAATATCAACATAGGTCACACTAATCTGTTTCAATGAAACTGGTCTAAATTAAATTTGATTAATCTATAATAGAACTCAAATATACAATCACTGATTATAAATTTAAGAATATTCTCATAAAGACACATTGCTGTTCCATTTTATATGGGAAAGGTTATATTCAAGATGATTAGAAATAAAAATAGCTGCTGTTCACTTAGGTTATTCTTTACAAAAACTATTCAAGAATGCATCAAATGGATTTTCTTTACATGGTTTCTCTAAGGTGTTCTATTCTTTAATCTTTCATGCTTATTATTCTGCCTATAAAGACTGAATTCATGCACTCTCCAGCTTATTTCTATATTTAAAAACACTAATATAAATTTTAAGAACATTAATGGGCTACTACCATTAACATTAACAGTCCAAGAAATAAAAGTCACTACAGGTTAAATCAAAAACTCATAAGCTGGAATGAAATACGGCAAGCTGTGATACATCTATATTCACTTTTTATAGAAAAGAGTTCCGGAAAGGCAAAAACATTGTCCCCATGGTCTCATGGGTAACATACATAAGAACTAGCATTTTTCCATGTTAATCATGACTATATAGTATTATATACAATTAAATATCTCATTCATACAAATATAGATGTAACCAAAGCTTTCAGCTCCAATCTAAAGCTCTGCTTATCCAAATACTATTTAATACAGCAAACTGACATAAAAAGCGAAGAAGCTGGACAGTTCATATAGTTCACACCACTAGAAAACACCCTATGCTAGAAATCAAGTGTAACACACTAAAATTTTACCTCCAGTGCTTGAAAAACACCATTATCTTCATACATGGGAAGGTATATATTACTGCATTATGAGGTCTTTTACTCTAACAAAGGCAACACATTTTTTATGGATGTCCTATCCCAAGTTTTTAAGCTGCCAACACTCTGAACCCCAAAGACTCTTATTCATATCTCTTTATTATTTTTAAAGAAATAGTAACTTTTTAGAAACAATATACAACACAAAAATTGCAAGCCTAAAAATTTCCTTAATGATTCTAACTTACAAAGAGAAATGCCCCTTATTTAATTTTGCCTACTAGTAACTATCCAGACAGGACTCACATTGTAGGGACTCTTCAGAATCAAATTTTAATTTTCCACAATAAATGAATTTCTCAAAAAATTATAATTGGCCAAAGAAAGATAATACACTCGAATAAAAGCACAGAAATTCTGTGATCAACCTAGAGGAACCATTTAAAAAGAAATGGACTATGTGTCTAGAGAGTCACTGTAGTTACTCAAGTCACAAAGCTGACATTACAAATCAAGTTGACTGCATTTTCTAACTAATCTTATGTTTCCCCTTCCAATTCCAGACATTCCAAATTAATTCTATAAAGCAGTCAAGTGTTGAAATACTTAAAATGAATTATAGCATGCATCCAGCCACTGTTACTTCTCCCCAAATCAAGCATTCAACACTATGTAACAAGAATAAGATGTGCTCCAGCATGCTCCTGTCTTGTGCCTCTATGAAGAACTGGCAGTGGTGCTGAAAATTACTACTAGAAAGATGAAAGACCAATACCCGCCTTTCAATAAAATCCATCATCTGGACTCTGGCCAAGATTTTAAAACTGACACAACGTTATTAGAAACAATAAATCAACTCTACAAGCGGAAATGCTCCTTTTCTTACAAATCATGCCCTCAAAACAAAACAAAAAAATTAAGTAATAAGAAAGCATTAACAATTGTAGGCCATTCATTTCTGACAATAATCAAATTTTGTATTTTACAAGTTAATTTAACAATCTGCGAGATTCTGCTTAACCTACCTACATCCCTTTCCCAAGCTTCTTCAATTATTACAATGGCTATATAAATAAATGAACTTTGTGCTATTGCCTAAACAGCCTACCTGTAAACTTATGAAAAATTAAATAGACAACTAAAATAGTTTGGCTTATAAAGTCTAGCTATTGTATGTGTGTCCACATTGATTTTATACTCTTTGTTCCTGGGTGTCAATTCCTGGAGGATACAGATTAAGTAATCTTTCTCTATTTCAGAGTTGAATTGCTAGCTATTGAGAATTACCTATTGCAACGGTTAAAGTCCTTCAAGTATTTTACCTTCTAGTCTCATTATCTTTATTTCTGCCTATATTGAGGTAAGGTTACATATCACTATAAAAAATACCCTCCAATAGACGTTATTACAAAAACTGGGAAGCGGGACCACATCTCTGTAAAGCTCGGGTAAGTGCTTACAATATAATAATTTTACCCTTAGCTAACACAATCTTGGCAGAAATCCAGAAATTTTAAATAATTTTCTTTTCTCTATTCTAAAACAACTGTGGAGTCAAAACCAACGTGATTACTCTGTACACTTCATGCAATCACTAAAAAGACGAGTCACTCAGTCTTATCAAAACAGGATCGCTGATTACAGTACGTTCGTAAACTATAACCACTGCATGTGTGACATACATTTCGATCAAGTTTCAATCCTGTTACAAAGCCTTTGTCAACAGTGAGCGAGTGGGGAAAAAGCCCAAAGGCTCTGTGGAATGAAGGAAATCACTGGACGGGCTTATCTTGGAAGACCGGAATTCGTGCTGAGAGGTGAGCAAAAAGAAACAAGACCTAACCTTGGCAAGGGGGCGCGACATCCAGGGTGGGGAGGAGAGGTTGGAGTGAGTGGGGAGGATGGGGTTAGCGGGGAACCGCGGCAGCCCGGGGCTGACCTCGCACCGCGACTCCCCCACCTGCAGCCAGTTCCCCACCACCATGCCCCGGCCCAGCCCGGCCGGGTTGTGCCCTTCCTCCCGCCGCCGCCCGCATATCCGTTACCCCTGCAGCCGCGGGCTGCGGGGGAGGGGAAGGACAGCGGGGCCGCTGGGGGGCGGCCGCGGCGGGGATGCCGCAGTGGCTCCCCGCGGCAGTGGGTCAAAGTCCGCGAGGAGACAGCAGGAGCCACAGGCAACGACAGAAGTCAAGACTGGCGAGAAGGTGGCCCCTCTGAGTCCTCCCACACCCTGGCCAGCGCCGGTACCTCATACTGGATGTACTGCTTCCTCCACTCGGGAGTGATGTGCGCGGAGAGGTGCTCAGCGAACTTCATCCTGCCGTTTCCCCTTCACTCCCACCCGGGTCCAGCAGTTACAGGCGGCGGCGGCGGCGGCGGCGGCGGCAACAGCGACTCCGACTCCTCCCCACATGGGCCCCGGCGCGGCGCTGCACTTCTCTCCTCCTCCGCCGCCGCCGAGGTCTCCTTAGAGCGGCCCTCCCGCCATCTTCCTCCTCCTCTCCATAGCCCCGCCCCTCCCCGCCCTCTAGACGTCATCGCCATGGTAACCGCCTACGCCGTACCAACGAAAGGGGGCAGAGTAGAGGGCGGTGCTTGATTGCCTTCCTTCGTTCTCCGCCCCTTCAGGGCCGGACGTGCTGGAGGCGCCTCCCCTGACCTCTTCCGTCTAGCTCCAGTTGGCTTGCAGCTGCTCTCAACCGCCTGCCGGAGTAGCAGCAGTGTTGTTATTGTAATTAATATTAATACTGGAGCAACAGTAATCCACACAAGACGTTTGTATTTGAACAGAACTGTGAAAATGTGTTTTTTTATTTTATTCCTCGTGAAACTCATTAAAGATCGATTGATATTAATCCAAAATGAGTAGTTAAATAGTTTTGGACCAAATGTATGCAGAGGAATTACTCTCCATAGAGGAGAGTAAATGTATGCAGAGGAATTGCATACTCCAGGTGCTCCATAAATGCTTGTTGAATTTAGTTAAAGATGTCAGTGCCAAAACTGCCTGCTGCCTCTGAATGTCAATACAATTGTCCAGACTTGGGACTAACAAAAAAGCCAATAGCAACACCTGGATTCAAACCAATACTGAGGATACCAAATGGAATTGTGACTGAGCTTCCTTGAGTTTGGAGTTGAGAGTTAGAAGGCAAAACAGTGCCAGAAGAGAGAATCCCATAGAGGTACAGAACCAAGTCCACCTTCAGTGAGACCAGAAATGGGCCCAGCATTCAGGCTGACTTATCTCTGGAAAACATGGAGAAGAGCTCACTCACAGAACTCAGCACTACAATGAATGTGAGGGTGGTTGTCCTGGAGAACTTTACTTGAGACAGAAACCTAGATCCCACCCTGGATGGAGAAGTCCTGGATAATATAACTAACATTTATTGACCACTCTCTCATCCACTTCCCAAGCAATATTCTAAGCCTTTACCCTTTAATTCTCACAATTTCGATGAAACCCAAAGGTTTATTAGATGAGTGTTGTGACAGTATTTTGAGAGGTCCATTCTAATGTTGGCTTTTTCTCCCCACTCCATGTATGTCTCTCTTTTTTCTTCCCCTTAATTCATGCCAATACAGATTCTGCAATTTTTTACTCAGGAAAACGATGAGGTGTGATTAAAAAAAATGCATATTTCAGGCTTTTGTTGTGCAAAGACCTCAACTAAGTGTGAAAAGAAAATCAGGGTCAAAAACAAGAAGAAAAGGAATAGGAGAGTGAGGGACTCCTTTCAGCATGCTATTCTTCTGTCCACCATAAAAACCTCTCCCTCCTGGAGGTAAACATTGTCAGGAAAAAAGGGCTACACTATCAGGAAGAGGGCACAACCACCGAGAGGAAATGACTATGTAGTATGTCTAGGAAGACAGTACCAGGGCCAGCCACAAGAATGATTCTTGGGCCTTCACTCAAACATGAATTACAATGGCGATTTTAGTAGCAACTTTCATATACCATAGTATACTGCACCCAGCTGCAAAATACCTCCATGATTTAATTGTGCACAAGAACCTAGAATCATAGCCCAATCCAAAGAAACGAAATTGCTCAGCACTAGCTCTGAAACCAATGATTATTTTTCACATGACCCATCCAGAGCCCTGCCATCCAGACGGACATGAAAATCTTATCTACACACGTAGATTTAAAAAGAATTCTCTGTATTTCTAGCATTATTTCAATGACGAAAACCACCAAATGGTTGAATGGTATTTATTGAACACCTACTCTCTGCAGGGCAGTATGACTGGTACTACAAAGGGTTACCGGAATAGTTGTGGTTTGAATCAGAAAGGCCTCCTCCTTTTACTTTATTTTGTGAATAGGCAACTATTTCTCCACTATGACACTTGAGCACTATGACATTGAGAATGAAGGACAGCTCAAAAATACATCAGACTGCCTGGCTAAGGTGCGGTGGCACACACCTGTAATCTCAGCACTCAGAAGGCTGAAGCAGGAGGATCGTTGCAAGTTCAGGACCAACCTGGGCTACAAAATGCGCTCAACACCAGCCTGAACTGCATAGTGACATTCTATCTCAAAAAGACAGCAATGACAAAAAAAAAATTAGACTGTTGTCATTTCCCTGAAGGAAATAAACACTCCAATAAAAATAGGCAAGTAGACCAATAGCTAGACTAGAGTATGATACATGCTATAATTGAGGTATATACAAGGAAACAAATATCTAGCTGACCAGAAAGTAAAAGATAGTATAACAGAGATTTTGAAATCCAGTCTTAGACAACACTCTGACAGAGAAAGGATCTCAAAGACAAAAAGTAAAATGTCAAAATTATTTTTAAAATGACAAGAAGCTATCTGAACAGAATATTCTTTGAGGCAGCAAAATGTCTCCTTAATGAAACTTTCCCTGCTTGGTCTCCTTTTCTCCCCAGTCTGGCTCCCATATCATCCCATTCTGTATTGTCATCAATAATTTACGTCAGACCATGAGCTCCATGAAGACAAATTGCTCTACAGTTTAGCACAGTGCTGGGCACTAAGACCTTCAATAAGTGTTGAAGGAACAAAGGAAAACAAGAGAGAAGGAAAGTAAAGAGAAAAGAAGCAAAGGCCAGGCCGTACAGAGGGAACCTACAGGAACTGAAATTAAAATGGAACAAGATTGTGAAGGAATTGCTCATAACAACATAGGCATGGGATGTTTGAAGGAGTGTAAACTATAAGTGACTCAGATTTAGGAAAGCAGTACACACAGTGTAGCTTTCTGACTTTGAGTACTCATCCCAGAAATAGACCTGCATTAAAATCTCAACTGTGCCATTTACAAGCTGTGTGCCGTTGGGCTTGGGCAAAGTACATTAGTTTTTAAAACCCCAGTTTCCTGGTCTGCCAAATGGGAATTAAAACACTTCCCGTGCAGATTTGAGGATTAAATGAGACTCAGTATATAAACTATTTAGTATGAGGCTTGGCCCCTGGTTAAGCATTCAGTAACAGACCCTCAAAAGCCTTTGTCACTGCATGAAGAAGGAACCAAAATAGACACAAATCTAACACCAATTTATTAACAAGGATGGCCTCTGGTGTAACCCATTTGCAAATGTAAATTTAATCCTCCCAAGAACCCTAGAAGATAGCTACCATTATTATCCTCATTTTAGAGCTGAGAAAATTCAGAAAGAGAGGGTAAGCATCTTGTATAAGATCTCTCAGTCAAATGATAGGCTTAGGTTTGAGCCCCAGTAACCGAGTGCCAGGGTCCTTGCTCTTGAGCATTATGTTGTATGACTGTTGATGCAACAACTCAAGCCAGTTACAGAAATGAACAGAAGGAGATGTGACATCCAACACCAGCTCTGATGCCAGGGAAGATGCTGCTGCCATGAACGGAGATAAGGAATACAAGGAGAGAACAGATTTAGTATTTTACCGAATGTATTAGTATTTAGGAATCTCTGATATATGGAGTGCTCCAGTTGGGTGCGAAGATTTCAAGCTCTAGAAAAAAGAGATTAAGACTGAAGTCTACGAAGCCATTCACATTTAAATGATGATTAAGTCTGGTAAGCCGGCCCTGGGAGAGACCATAGAGAGGATGGAAAAGAGGCCAAGGGGACATCTTGGTGTGAACCTAATGAAGAAGATGGATCAAGGAAGCAGACTGAGATATGCCAGAGTCAGTGATGAGACAATTAGCAGAGAGTTGAGTGAAGAAAGCAATAAAAAGATGAAAGTTTCATAAACGATACAGAGGTGCTCGCTTCGGCAGCACATATACTAAAATTCGAACAATACAGAGAAGATTAGCATGGCCCCTGCGCAAGCATGACATAAAAGATACAGAGATCAATAAGCTAAGTATATTAGAAAAGTTACATAAGATGACTTCCAAATATTGGAGTTAGTGAGATCACTAATGCCCTTTTAAAAAATGGCTTTGATAGCATGAGAAGTTGCAGACATCTGAACAATAAACAGTATTTCATCTTTGTAAATCCTAAATTGTATTTATTATGTATATGTTGTAGGATGGACCAGGAGAAGTTAATCACATAGCAATTTATCTAGAAATTCACAAGTGCTGAGTTTGAACAGTTCATATTTTCACACATAATTCTAAGTTTTGGAACAGTTATACTTACCACAAAGTAACTGTTTTAAAACTTAGAATTATGTGTGATAAATATAAAGTCAAACTGTTGCTTAAAAAAAAGCAAAACAAAACCAGTGATCATGCTGAAATGTGAGGAACTGACCTGCAGAGAAATCAAATCTTAAGGTATAACTCCTGCTGAAGCTGAATAAACAGGTGTCACAGGAGCAAAGACCTTATTCAAATACAGCCCAGATTCACAGTTATCTGAGGCCCAGTCCAGTTTTAAAATAGGATAGATAGCCTAATAGGCTCAATGGGGTACAGTAGATGAACTGAAGAGGCCCATGACTTCCTTCAAATTACAAAATGCAAAACCATGTGTTATCTGAATATTTTTCAAAAGGCCCTATATCACACCTCAAAAGTTTCCACAGTTCAAAATTATTTAGAACAACAACACAAGGTCACTAATTCCTGCTTATTCTTCCAAGAAAACTAACATAAAAATTTTATAAATGAAACTTTAAATCATTCCATTTTGAGATTTCTAGAAATACTTTCTTATTTTTATAAGATTTGGATTAAGTACACTCTGGAAGTTTTTGGTTTGGTTTGGTCTTAGATTTTTGTCTGTTTGTTTTATTGATAAATTCTCTTTACATAACGCAGTCGGGCCTTAAAATCTTGACAATTCTTCCTGCTCAGTCTCCCAAGTGCTGGGATTACAGATGTGTACTACCACATTCAGCCTTGTATATATATATATATTTTTTTTTTTTTTTGGAGGTTTTTCCTTTTTATCGGTACCGGGGATCGAACTCACCACGGCCTGCTTGCAAGGCAGGCGCTTATGTCACTGAGCTAAACCCCCAGCCCCCAGCCTTGTATATTTTTAAGAAATCTTTTTTCAAGTTACAAAGGACCATTTATGAGGTAGGCATGTAGTGCAATAGAAGAGTTCCTGCTTAACATGAGCAAGGTCCTGGGTTCAGCCTCAAGCACACACACACACACACACACACACACACACACACGCACGCACACGCACGCACACGTATGACAGTATTTGTAATATTCTCTCATTTGATCCACAAATATGCAACCACAACTCATCAAGCACTGTTCAGATCACTGTATTCAGCTAGCAGAATCGAAAAATTCCTGACCTCATGGAGCTTGCTGTCACACGAGGAAACAATAGACAGTAAGCAAACTGTAACAGGTTAGATGGCATAACATGCATGGAAAATGGAAAGAATATAATGTCATCTGATGGAGGGTAGTTAGGAAAGGCCTGACAAGGGGGTTTTTAAACAGAGATCTGTAGGAAAGGGGAGAACTATGCAAATGTGAGTTGGAGGTGGAAGTGGGCAGAATAAGCATATGCTAAGGCTCTGAAGCTAGAATGTGCTGAAAGTGTTGGAGAAACAGCCCGAATGCCAGAGTGGCTAACGAGTATTTCAAGGAGAGAGTGAGAAGGTCAAACAGAGAGTTAGGAACAGTGTTGCTTAGGATTTTATAGGGTAAAATAAGGACTTGGACTCTGAGCTTGGACTTTGGGGATTTTAAAATAGTATTTCATTTTCAGTTTTTTAGACATTTATTGGTGTGATTCTGCATGTAGTAATAATTGCTGTTTTTCTTCTATACATTAAAAATGTGATGATAAAATATATATATACCATAAATTTATCATTTCAATCATTTTAAGTGTACAGTGCAGTGACACTAAGTATATTCACAGTATTGTAAAGCCATCACCACTGTTCATTTCCAGAAATTTTCATCACCCCAAACTGAAACCCTATACCTATTAAACAATAATGCTTTGTTTTTCCTTCACACTAGCCCATGGTAATCTCTATTCTACTTTCTGTCTCTATGAACTTGTCTATTCTAAGTACTTCATATGTGACACCATACAATATTTACATTTTTGTGTTAGATTTAGTACACTTTTTAAATCCATGTTGTAACATGAATCAGAATTTCATACATTTTTAAAACTGAATATGATCCCACGCATACTGTTTATTCATTTGTTTATTGATGAACATTTGAGTTGTTTCTACCTTTTGGCTAGTATCAATAGTGCCACTTTGACCAGTGATGTACAAATATCTGCTTGAGTCCTTGCTTTAAATTCTTTTGATCATGATCTAACTGTGGAATCACTGAATTATGAAGTGTTTCTACTTTAACTTTTTGAAGAAATGGAGATTTTTAGAGTATCATCATCAATCAAATAAATCATACATTTTTCTGTTGCGTGGAAAACAGTCTTCAGAGGAGCAAAAAAAGAGGCTGAGTGTGTTCCTTTCACAGGGCTGCCATAACAAATTACCACAAATTGGGTCCTAAAATATGGAAATTTATCTTTCATAATTCTGAAGATGAAAAGTGCAAACTCAAGGTTTCAGCAGACTTTCACTCAAAGTTTCTGGTGAAAAACCCATTCCATGCCCTTCTTTACACTTCTATTATTGCTAGAAATACTTAGTGCTTCTTGGATTTATGCTACATAGTTCTGTCTCTGCCTCCATTGCCTTATGATGGTTTGCCTGTGTGTGTGTCTGTGTTCATGTACTATTTTCCCTCCTTTTTCTGTTTTCTCTTTTTACAAGAACGTCAGACTTACTGGTTGGGGACTCACTGTAACCCTGTATGAATGGTTCCTAACTCGATTACATTAGAAAATACTCTATCTCCAAATAAGATCACATTCCCAGGTACTGGGGATAGAATTTCAACAAATCATTTTGAGGGGAGGCAAGTCATCTTACAACATAGAAAAGTTTTAAAGATACTGTTGAAATAATCCAAGAGAGAGGTGGTTACCGAGGTCAACGTTGAAGGTAATGAGAAATGATACGCAATTAAATATATCTGGAGGATAGAACAAGTAAGATTTTTTTGGTAGATTAAATTTGGATGTGTTATGTTGAAGGTGCCTATCAGACATTCAGAGGGAAATGCCCAGTAGATATTTGGAGTCTTTAGGTCAGCAGAAAAGGCTGGGATGAGATAGAAACTTGATGAATTAACAGAATAAAAAAAAAATTTAGAAAAGATTTTTAAAATGAATTTAAAGGGCCAGGAATATAGCTCAGAGGCATAAGCACCTGCCTAGCAAGTGCAAGGCCCCTAGTTTGATTTCCAGTACAAAAAAAAAAAAAAAATTAAGCCATGGATCTCCATGAGATCACTTAGGGAGTAAGTGTAGCTAGGGAAGGGAAGAGCTCCGAAGACAGGTTCCTGGGAAGATGAAGAGGAATTGCAAAGGAGGCTTGACAAGAAGAAGTTAATACAGTGAGAAATGGTCGTTCCTTCAGGAAATGTTTCCATGAAGAGGAGGAGGGTAATAAAGTGATACTTGGATCAAAATGTAATAGAATTTTTTAATATGGGAGAAATAACAGCACATATATATTATCATGGGAATGATTAAGTATAGAAAGAAAAAAGATCATACAGGAAAAAAGGAGGCATAAATTTTCTCTGTATAAAACCACACATAAATAAAGTATACATGTGTTTGACTAGTAAGACAAGATCAAGAAGAATGATCCAGAATGGCTTTCTCTGGATTAGATATTTCACGTCCTTGTGCTTTTAAATTTTTTGTCATTGTTTTTAATCTTTATAAAATACATTTATCAAATGTACAAAAACAACAGGGGTTCTTTTTTAATAACTCAAAATCAATGCTGCCCAATGAGTGAGAAAAAGTGATATTCAGTGAGTGAGCATTTGATACTGCAGGGAAGAAACCAGGAAATGAATAGAAGTGAAAAAGCCAGGGAACGGGGCTGGGGATTTAGCTCAGCGGCATAAGCGCCTGCCTTCCAAGTGTGTGGTCGTGAGCTCGATCCCGGGTACCGATAAAAAAGAAAAAGAAAGAAAAAAAAAAAAAATCCAAGGATAGAAGCTCAACCAGGAGCCCAGGGAAGGCAGGATAGTACAGCCACCAGAAAAGACTAGAGGAGAAATCTGACATCATTTGGGACTTGGCGCTGGAAGAAATAATTAGGGCAAATAAAGTTAGTGGGTGATGAGTTTGCAGATGGTCAGGAGGAGAACAAAAGTAGTTTACATGTAAACGCTTCCTTTCCTTTCCTTTCCTTTCTAAAAGAAGTAAGTCAATCCATTTGCTTGAGGAAATGGGAGAAGACCTGGGCATGAGGTATGTGAGTAGTCCTTGAGGCTGAAAATTGCTAATTTGTAGTAGAATCATCTGGGATGATTTTACCAGTCATTTTACCCGGAGTTGAGAAAAGATACTATAGTTGGTTTGAGCCAAGGTTCTGAATTTCAGAAATTGCTTCAGGACAAGAAGATGAAGTCACTGAGCTAACAATGGAAATGATAATGATCACTAAGATATATTTCATTTTAAATACCTTATTTAGTTTAATTCTCAAAGCAAGGAGAAGACTGAAAAGGATATTATGATAATTATCACCACAAAGGACAAGAATTTTAAAAGGATATTATCTTCATTGTATAGATGAGAAGACTGAGCCCTGGATGGTACAGTGGACATTTGTCAGTTTTTATCTATCTGCTTTGCAGCTGTTTCCTAGACAGAAGGATCCTCATCTCTTAAGTCTTGATGGGAGGCAAGATCCTCAGTTCATACTAGATTTAAAGCAAGTGTATGTCCCTATCCCAAACCCATAACAAGAAGCATATGGTCCAGCATTAGCCAAACAGATGCCCCTGCCAAAGATTTCTGCCTCTTATGGAAGCACCCAATGACAGAGA